AAAATCCAGTCTCCAGAATAAAGTCTTGCTCTTCATGGGTCTCTTTCATCTCTTCATCTGCTAAAGCAGACTCAAACCGTGAGGGGGCTTGTGGCAGGGGCAGGGGGGGGATGACACCATAATGGATGCAAAGAACTGTAACAGAGACAACAAAATTTGCTCTATGATTTCTCACAGAGTTCTGAAAACCTGACTGGAGTCAGACACAGCTGATGGCACATCATCAAACAAGACATGAGGAGCTGAAGTTGATATCATCTGAAGAGAGAAAGCAGAGTGAGCAGACTTCACCAGCAGATCAGCAGTGAGACTTTTAATCTTTCTTTTTCTCTATATATCCCATCAGTACAATTCATTATTCATGAAATGTCAAACTACTCACACCACCAGCAGAAACACTTTCAATCTTCTTTCAGAAAGCTGCAATATTGCTTCTGAGAAAGTCAATTTTAGTTTCAATTCACTTTTCAAATATATCAGTACAATTTGACTAATAAATATATAGATAACTTACAACAAAAGTTCAAAGAATTGTCTTCAAGAGGTTTTTTTGCTTCTTCTGGAGTGTGAGAAGAGCATTTATGTCAGAAAGTGGGAGTGAGGTGGCAGCAGCAGTACTGAAGACAGAGGAGGCAGCAGCAGTTGTCATCTTTTCAATAATACTGAGAAGACTGATGGTGAGCTGACAGAAATCAGCAACATACATCTCTTTTGCAAGAGAATTTGTCATCAGCTTGAATTTCTGATGAGTGGTCAGAAGTACTGAAATCTGTTCATGATGTCTTCCATCAATCAGCATGCAAGCTTTCTTCATGAATGTGCAGTTGCTGCACATCTTGTTGCTTTTCTGCTGGTAATTGCAGAGCTTGTCAAGATGCATCATATACATTCAGTCTACACAGTGTAGACAGACAGTGAGCTTGTGCTCATCTTCATTAATCTTGCAGCCATGCATTGTGGATTGGAGGGAGGGGAAGAAGGCAGTTGCAGAAGTGATGATGAGAGCTGAGACACATGTGCTTCTGTAAGAAGCCATTCTCATTCAAAAAAAAAGCTATATATATTAACTAATGTCATATATTTGCAGAAACCATTCAGAATTCCTCAACTTACTAAAAAATTAATAGAAGGTGGGGGGGGGGGGTGAGAATGATGAAGTGACTGAGGAGAGAGAAAGAAGAGAAGATGGAATTTGTGTGTGATATTTACATATATTGAAGATTCAAATGTTTTGATTTTCTAATTAAGATGTGTTTCTATGAATTCATGTTTGTCTGAGATTTCAGTGAGTCTAATTTGCACTGTTCTTCTAAATATTATAATCATATCAACCTGCTCCTATCTTGACTGGGGAGCTCTTTCTACTATTTACTTATACAGATGACATTTTGCCAATTGAATCTAATGGAGATACAGCAAGTAAAACAGTTATAATAAAG